TGGAGTCAGTTCTGACTCATAGTTACCCTGTATAGGGTCTGAGGCTATAAATCTTTACAGGAGCAGAAAGCCTCATCTTTCTATGGCAGAGGGGCTGGTAGATTTAAACTGTTGACCTTGCAGGTAGCAGCCCCACTTATAAACCACTACACTACTAGAGCTCCTTTTCTATAGGCCTATGTTTAGAGCAGAGTCCTAGTGGTGCTCTGCCAATCCACCTTCTGTCACCAAAGCTGCTCACAAAAATTCAAGAGGGTAATGCCATGTTTGGCTGGCCATTCACCAGTCAGTCTCCCTCTCTAGCTATCCCTGCTCAGTTTCTCCTCCCAGCATGCACTCAGTGTACTTCTCTAACTTTTCCTCTCTCTTATTTCTTTATGTGAGGTAAAATTATCTGTTATCTCTTGGATATTGTGATGTTATCACACTTGTATAACATCAGGGTTCCAGGCTTTTCATCTGTGTCTATCTCATTTGATCTCTTGTATCTTTGTTATGGAGTGACTGAGTGTAATATATTTGCATAGTCTGCCATCTTTCTGACCACCTTGTTTTTCTGGGTTTTGCGAGTTTTGTACCTTTATAGGGTTCATTCTTACCACTTTCTTATTACTCATTTCAGTGGACAATATTAGATTTCATATATTTTAGTGTAGTTGTATTCACTAAGAAAGGACAAATCTTTTATCAGGGATCTTTAAGTGGAAAATTATTGAATGATTGAAACTGAAACTCTTTAACAAACTTGACAGACAATAGGTCTGGTTAGGTTTGGTTTGGTTTGGGGTCAACAGTGAATGCATGTTTTTCCAATGGCTTGTAAGAAACACTCATTATTTCATTTTCTCTACCCAGGAAAATGATGCTTAAGGATATCTGAGATTGCAGGATAACTCAATGAGCCCTGCCTCTGCTTACTGGTGTATCCCCCTCCCACACTGAACAAGACTGACATGTGTACCATGAAGATATTATGGAAATGGCACTGCATGACTTCCAAGGCTAGATCACATTGCGGCTTCCACCTCGTTCTCTCTAGGATCTTTGCACGGGAGAATATGTCCTGACAATACCCTATGGAGAGGTTCTAATGGCAATGAACTTAGGTCTCCTGTCACCATCCATGTGAGTAAGCCATCTCGGAAGTGGGTCCTCTAGTCCTAATCAAACCTTCAGTTCACTGTAGTCCCAGATGATACCTTGACTACATTTCATGAGACTTTAGTTAAATTGCTGTTAGATTCTTAAGAGAAGCTGATCATAAATGTTTATCATTGTAAGGCACTATGTTCTGGGGAAGGAACCCTGGTGGCTCAGTGGTTAAGTGCTCAGCTGGTAACCAAAGGTTAGTGGTTCAAACCTACCAGCTGCCCTGGGTAAGAAAGATGAGGGAGAGTACTTCCCTGAAGATTACAGAATTGGAAACCCCACGAAGCAGTTCTAATCTGTTCTCTACGGTTGCTATTACTCCGATTTGACTTGACAACAATAGGTTTCATTTTGGTTTTATATTGTGGGTAATTTGTTACAAGAGCAATAGATTACAAAGTCTTTTTGTTTCCAAGTAGCACTATTAGCAAAGCAAATTAATGTAAACACATCTTATGCCATTTACAAAATTGATAGGTTCTGCAGTTACCAGTTCATGGATAGGGTCTGTGGTACAGTGAATTTACTTAATATGTGTCTTCATAGCTATAGTATTTGTAACTCACACCAAATGATTGGGTGGAACCACGGAAATAGAGTGTATGGGATCTCAAGATCACCAAGAAAGAAGAGCCGTGAGTAAAGCATGTCCTTTGGACCATGAGATTTACTACAAAGAGAAGTGGTGGCAGCTGAGGTAGCTTCACAGGGAAACAGAGCAATGGAACAAGTAAAGTTGAGTGCTGTGGGGCCTGGGAGGCTGGCTTGTAGAATTGGGTGCCCTTTGGGCATTTATCAGTAGTCCTAAGAGAACTTGTAAAACTTACTTGAGAAGGGCAGAGGCTCAGAGATCATGTGGCTGAGAGGCTGAGGACCAAAGACAGGCATGCCTGTGGTCCTTCTGAGAAGAGGCACTACTGACCATAGAACCGCTGTATCCTGAGTTATTTCTGATCTTGAATTGTACCCTGTTGACTTCTCTAATAAGCTCCATAATCATGAGTATTGTCTGAGTTCTGTGTAGCCATTGCAATGGATTATCGATCCTAGCAGAGAAGTAGAGTGCCATGTGGGAGGGATGGTTGGTATCAGAATAGGGTAAAAAAGGTTGGAGGGTAGATGCATGTCTGACCTCCATCTCATAGGAATCATCCTCTTCCCCTCTTGTGAAACCTCAGGAGGTCAAGCACTGCCTTTATGCCTTTTTTGCAGGATCTTACCTCAAGGAATTTACTACAAGCAATTCACTATTTAGTTCCCTGGTTCTCAAAGCATTATACCAAAATCAGCAGTATTGGCATTGCCTGGGGAGCTTGACAGAAATGCAGAATCTCAAACCTCATCCCAGAATAACTGAATCAGCATCTGTTTTAATCAGTTTTCCCCCTTCCCCTACCCATGACTGTAAGTACATTAAAGTTTCAGAAGAAATTCTAATCTATTTGACTCTCAATATTACAACCTATGGCTGGAAACACTGGCTATACATTAGAACAACCAGGGTGTTTATTATTATTATTAAATAACACTGTAGAGTGTGGTCAGACTCAAAGTGGCCTTGTACAGATTTTCTAAGGCTTTTTACAAGAGCAGAAAGCCTCATCTTTCTTACTAAGCATGGCTGGTAGATTTGAACTGCCAACCCTGTGGTTAGCAGCCCAATGCATAACCCACTATACCATCAGCACCTCTTTAAAAAGTATTAACGAGACTGGAGAATGTTAAATTACCTTCTGATTAATTGGTTTGGGCTGAGGCCTATCATGGCTATGGATCTAAGCATGCTACAGGATTCCCACTCCCCACTCAACAGTCCCCTGCCTTCCACTTCCATATGCACACACAAAAAAGCTACATAAAGCTTCACTTCAACCCTGACTTCCCAGCAAGCTGTGATCCTGGTTGGTCAAATATGCTCAGATGTGAACCTGGGACTGCCCTGGGGGAATTACGGTACACACACTCTTATGAGAGTCATATAGGGGGCACTGCATATATTTCTACCTAGGAGTTCTAGAGTAGCACTGTAAGATAAGTACTGGACTGCTCAGCACAAGGTTGGCAGTTCAAACCCACCAGTTATTCCTTGTGATCCAAACCAATTAAAAGGCACTTGACAGCATGTTTCTACCTTGTCTTATTTATGTTCTTTCAAGACACAGTTCAGTCCAAGAAAAGCAACAACGCCTTTCTAATTTACAGGTCAGTTTGGATTTGCAGTCTAGGGCCACTCAGGTAAACAGGTTACCTGAGCATCTGAGGTTACTCTAAAGTTTCAGGGTAGCTTAACCAAGTCTCAGACCAGGATCTGACAATTCTGTACATCATCTTTCTTGGGTGGAAAAATGAAATAATGTTTTTCACAAGACATTAGGAAAACATTCATTTACTGTTGACCCCAAACCAAATCAAAATGTTACACTTGTCTTCTTAATAAGAAACTCAACTTTGACAAAATTAAGTATCATTTTAATTTGAGGGGGGGGCATTGTCTATTTGCTTTACTAAGGCATTTCCAGTGCTGGAAATAGTGCCTGGCACATGGTGTGAGCTTAATAAGTATTTGTTAATTAAATAAATCCCTCAAAATTTTATAATCTGACGCGTGGCTCAAAGTTATTGGATGTACCATGCTAGTGAATGTGCTATGCAAATTGTGGGGGCTGTCTTATCAGAGGATTTAAAAATGAAGTTCAAAATGTACTTTAAAAAAAAATTATGTTGTGCCCAAATTCAATTGCATATTTAGGGTTTCCGCTGTAGTTTGGCATCGGTTCCTCATTTAGTTGCTGGTTAAGGGATGTGATCCCTGCCCTTGAATCTCCTTCCTTTGTAGTTTTTTTTTTTTTTTTTTTTTTCAAGTCTGCGCGTTTACGTTTCCCAGGCGGAGAAGCGCGTGTGGCTGCGGCTGCGCCCATAAACGCGCTGCGCCTGGTAGTAGCTGTCAGCGGACGGCGCTGCCTAGGACCCAGGAGGAGCCGCTACATTAGCGCCGCAGCGCCTCCGCAGCAGTCCCATCAGGCCCCTAGCTCCCTTCCTTTAACCCTCCCCCAAAGACTCCGGCATTCCTAGAGGGGCAGCAAGGCCCCTCCAGCCCTGACAGCTGGCCGGCCAGGCGGTGGAGCAGGGCTTGGTTGTGGATGCTGGCGGTGAGCTGGCGGTCCATCAGCGGAGGAAACAAGCTGCATTATTCCCCGCTAGGGTCGGACGCCTTAGGAGGAAGGGGCCCCCGGCGCACATCTCAGTCCCAGTCGCCCCGAGGGCAGGGCCTGGGCGCGAACGCTGCCGCGGCGCTGCATCCTGGACAGCTGGCCCAGCGCGTGGGCGGGCCCGGGCTGGCGCGAAATCCCCGCAGGCCCGTGGCGCCGCTCCCACGCTTCCAGCCCCTCCCCTTCTTCCTTCTTCTTTCCCATCCGCGCTCCCGAGAGCAGCCGGCGGTCGCGAGCTGCGGTTTGTGTGAGCCCTCGGGACCTGGGCGAGCAGGGACAGCGACCGAGGCTTCACTTTGCAGCTCCTGGCCGCCTCCTGAGCGCGAGTTGTGAGGCGTGGCTGGGCGGAGGCGGTGCTTTGGGGGGCGTGGGACTCTCCGGCTGGCGGGAGGGACGGAACCAGCCGCGCTGGACAATGAGCTGGGTGGCTAGAAGCTGCGGCCACTTTTAACCGGAGGCGGGGGCCAGCCGGCGGCACTGCGGCCCCACCTGCAAGGAGAGAGCGGGATGCGAGAGCCAGGTGGCCGGACGCTCTAGGCCCCCTCACAGTCAGACGTCGCTGAACGGGTTCTCGCTCTAACACTGAGCTGACTGTAGGCTTTGACAGGAACGTGTTTTGTTGGGCGCCCCAGAGCAGTAGCGATGGCCAGCACCAGGAGTATTGAGCTGGAGCACTTTGAAGAACGGGACAAAAGGCCGCGGCCAGGGTCTCGGAGAGGGGCTCCCAGCTCTTCCGGGGGCAGCAGCAGCTCAGGCCCCAAGGGGAACGGGCTCATCCCTAGTCCAGCGCACAGTGCCCACTGCAGCTTCTACCGCACGCGGACCCTGCAGGCCCTCAGTTCAGAGAAGAAGGCCAAGAAGGCGCGCTTTTACAGGAATGGGGACCGCTACTTTAAGGGCCTGGTGTTTGCCATCTCCAGCGACCGTTTCCGGTCCTTCGATGCTCTCCTCATGGAGCTCACCCGCTCCTTGTCAGACAACGTGAACCTGCCTCAAGGTGTTCGCACCATCTACACTATTGATGGCAGCCGGAAGGTCACCAGCCTGGAGGAGCTTCTAGAAGGTAGGAGGGGCAGGGAGGGCACGGCGCGGCAGGTGCGGCTGAGCGCATTGGCAGGTGCAGTGGATGCAGGCCTGGCGCTCACCCCTCTGCCTCAAGCCAGACATTGGTTGGGGTGGGAGGCAGTGTGGGGTGGTTTCGAGGAGGCCACAGGAATTGCACTCTTTGGCCAAATAGATTTGCCTTTTGAAGCTAGGAAAGAAAAAAAAATAAAAATCTTAACAGGCAAGTGTAGGCATTCGAGGCATCTCACAAGATTGTTGCTGTTAAGTGCCATCGTGTTGGTTCTGACATATAGGGACCCTGTATAGGATTTCCAGGAGTGGTCGGTGAATTTGAACTACCAACCTTGCGGTTAAAGAGCCCAGTGCTTATCCTACAGTGCCACATCACTATTGTTGTGTTTTTAAGTGCCGTCGAGTCGGTTCTGACTAATAGCGATCTTGTATAGTGTTTCCGAGGAGCAGCTGGTGAGTTTGAACTGACGACCTTGTAGTTCAACCCGATCTTTCCGTCCAGGGCTTACCCTACAGTGCCACACCAGGACTAGTGAGGGTTATTTTGTTCAAGTACAAACTATTTGAAAAATAGTTTTTTCTCCGGTGCGGAGCTGAGTAAACCCCCTATTTAATAAATTTTGCGTGCACCCAGGCATCTGTAGATGTTCTCTTAAACCTGGTAGTACCTACTCTATTCTAACGCTGTGCTTGCAAAGTGTTCTAGGTTGGTTTTTCTGACTTGTTTACTGCAGAAGTTACATGAGATCAGAAGAGGTGATCCTGAAGCGTTCTCAACCATGACTGTATCACTGAAGACTAAAATATCTAGTTGTCCCAGTCCCACTCCCAGATATTCCCATGTAATTGACTTGGGGCGTGGCTGAGGCTTCTAGAGAAGTTCCCCCAGGTGATTCTAACTTGCAGCCAAGATTGAGAACCACTGTGCTAAAAGTTATCCACATCTGGTTTGGTCAGTCTCCCTTCCGCTTCTCCCTTGAGCATGGCTAGTTAGGCGGATAGTTCCAGGCCATTGGAATCAATCAGTAGTCAGGGCCCATTATAAATTACTAATTCTGGAGTGTCAACTTTACTTAACTGGTCAGGATTTGTTGGGTCCTTCTTGGTTTATTGCAAAAGCCGTTCTCCTTTCAGAGAGAAATAGCATTATTAGTAGTAAAGCACCTGTTTCTAGACTGCAACAGCACCCAGAAAGATCTGATTAAACCCAATTATATGCTGCATGCGAATTTACATAAACCCAGTTCTGATGTATCTTTCTTAATGGGAGATAGTTCAGAATGGCTTATTCCATGTAATCAGAGCAATATTGGCTTCAAGGATTGGAAGGAAACTGAAACCTGAGCCACTTGATTTTCTTGTAATATCTCATTTTAATTCTCACAACAACTCTTAAGGCATTAACTCAGTTTTATGTTGTTGTTGTTCAGTATCATACAGTCAGTTCCAACTTATAAACACCCTGTATGGGGTTTCCAAGGAGTGGTTGGGGAGTTTGAACCACCAACTTTGTGGTTAGTAGGCCAGTGCTTACCCTACAGCACTACCCCAGGAATCCACATTTCATCCCTGAGGAAATTTAAGCAGCATGCCACACACACACCTAGAGGAGTCAAGTTTCAAATGGGGCCTCATACCTTTAAAGCATACAAAGGGGCTTCCAAAATTTGAGAAAATTTTCCATCTTCCAATTCCATTTTTCCATGAACTTTTAAATGAAGTTTCCTGGTATGCTCTTTTATCTACAGTTCACCTCTAATAAATTAATGGAGCCACACTGATTGAGGAGTCCTGAAAGTGGTTGTAAATATCTCTTTTTAGTCACTGGACTCAGTCAAAATTGTCTCATATGACTTTCCACTTTTCTTGGTGAGTTGTGCATCTTGGTTTTAAAGGCTATCTTCAGAGCTAAAGACAGCTGGGGGAGGAGAAGTAAAATGAAGATACAATGTTAAAAGGGCATCATCACTTTACTTGTTAAGTACTTCAAAGCAACATTTGTGTAGCAATTGCAATGTTTGTGTAGCAATTTCAAAATTGAATACTTTATTTTCTGATTTCACTCTAGGTCAGTTTAGCAGCCCTGAGGAAGTATCAAGGCTACATCTATTGCTTAAGCACTTGTTACTCACATTCATGGCCTTGGGATATTGTACCTAGTGTGGTCTCAAAACAGACACTTTTAATATCCTTCTTTGAACTTAATTTAAACAATGGGTTTGCTACATAAAATGCATCTATTCCAAAGATGGATAGGAAAGATGACCATTATGATCCTTAATTGGTCACAATTAATTGAGCCTATATTGTGTGTTGGGGGAGTATGGTAGCTCCATAAGAGAAACACTGGATTGCGGACCACAAGGTCTGCGGTTCAAGCCCACCAGCCACTTTTCAGGAGAAAGCTGAGAATTTCCGCTCCTGAAAACATTTAAAGCCCTGGAAACCCTATACAGGTTCACTAGGAGTCCTGGTGTGGCACTTCAGAACAATGTGCTGGACTGCAAGGTCAGTTTGCATCATAAGGTCGACAGTTCAAACTCACCAGCTGCTCCTCAGAAACTTTATATAGGCTTGCTTTGAGTGGGAACCGATTCGACGACACTTAATGAGTTGCATTGGGTTTGACAGCACCTAACAATGACAACATAGTGCATTGAACCCATAGCTGCACCGAGGATACTAGTTCACTGGTTTTCATTGTCAAACTTTAGTTTCTACTGTAAATTAACAATTGACATATTTCTTCAAATTATCATTCATTGATTTTTGATGGGTGGGGATTTCGGTAAAACACTGAGTATATTCATGTAGAGTCAAAATTACACCAATTACACCATAATGCAACAAACACTATTTGCACAACAAAAAAAATGTTTCCGTGGTCCAGCCAGTTGTCCACTCTTTTCAAGCAGTATTCAGTATTATAAATTAATTCTAACAAAGAAAATTTGGCCATTTGTCACAGTGACATTCAGTCTGACAATGGATCTTTGTATAAATCTTAAATTCTCCACAAAAATGAGTGGAGTAGAAATGTATTTTTAAAGAAAAGAACTTACCATCAGTGTTTAATATCTGTAATTATAGAATTTAAATACTTTTCAGCTTTTAAGTGTGTGCTTGAATGTTTAGGTTTGTCTTGCAGAAGAACTAATCAGCTATCTGTGACATTTTTATTTACATCAATAAAAAAAAAAAATAGTAGTTCTACAGTATTGTACAAGTTTCCAAAATTGGCTTCTTGATTAATCTTGTTGTTAAATGCCATTGAGTTGATTCCGACTCATAGTGACCCTGCATAGGGTTTCAAGGGAATGTCTGGTGAGTTTGAACTGCCAACCTTGTGGTTCAAACCAACCTTGTCAAGTGTTTGACGTAGTCTTTTGGGCAATTTTTATATCATTCTATTTAATTGTTCTCTGCTTTTTTTTTCACTCCGTGAAATTTGTAGTTAAGAAATACTGCTTTGTTGGTTGGTTTTTAAATTTCTAAAATGTGTTTGGGAAAGAATAGAATGATGGCTCAAGATAGCAGGGCACTACTCTGATTCAGAACCACAATCCCATTGAACTCAGCTGACAAAAGAAATTTACATGACCCAGATTTTTTGTGTTCTGCCCTTGACTTTGAGAGTCTCTGGAGACTAAACACAGTGTTCCTTCCATTTGTTAGCTGGCACTTTCCCTGCACTATGCTAAACCAAAAGCATCTTCAACCCATCTCCCCTTGCTTAAATTATCATCACTGAGTTGATGCTGTAATCCTAGTGTTTATTCTTTAAAACTACACAGGGTCCTCCTTTTGGAGGAGGATTGTGATTCATAAACCAATATAGGGAAAATCAGATTGAGCTTTGTGAAACAATGAGTCTGTCAAACTGAAAGTATCTCTAATAGGCAGCCAAGGATGTCCAGGTGATAATTCATTCTCAAGTTTGATTGTTTAGGGGCTGTCTTAGTTAACCTAGTGCTTCGGTAACAACACAAGTGGATGTCTTTAAAAACAAGTTTAATTTCAAACAGCTTGTTATTGTTGTTAAGTGCCATAGAGTCGGTTCCAACTCATATCGACCCTGTATAGATAAACACTGGATTGCGGAAAAAATCTGTATAGATTTTTTCAGGAGCCAGCTGGTGGGTTTGAATCCCTGACCTCTGGTTAGCAGTCTAGAGTTTATTTTACAGTGCTACCTCGGAAAGCTGGAAGTCCAAATGAAGGGTTCCTGCTCCAAGGGAAAGGCTTTATTTACTCTGTTACCTCCGGAGGAAGGTCCTTGTCTCTTCAGCTTCTGCCTCCTGGTTCCTTGGAGATCTCTATGTGTCTCAGTGTTAATCTTCTCCTGGTTCCAGAAGGTTCTTAGAGCAAGGACACCAAGCCCAAAGGATGTGCTCTGCTCCCAGCCCTTCTTTCTTGGTCATAGTAAGGCCCTTCTTCTCTCTCCTTTAATCTCTTGTAAGATAAAAGATGTGATAACAGAACACATAAAATGGAGTATAATTACCTCAGATCACAGATGAATGATAAGCACACACTACTGGGAGTCATGGCCTCACCAAGTTGAGTCTTATTTTGGGAGGATGCAGATTTAACTCATGACAAGGTCAGAACTCCTGAATTTAGTTTTTGTTCTATAAGTTTTGTCATCCTCTGTGCATTTGGGACACATTTGTAAAATTTTGATGTCCTGAAGAGATATGACCAATAATTCCTGATCAGGAATAATTCCTGATCAAATCAGGAGCCTGGAGTTCTACTACTGTAAATTTGAAGAAAAACTGTCTCAGCTCTCTGCTTCATTTTCTGCAGAATAAGAGGCAGAGTGGATTATCTCTCTAAATTCGGTCCCTTCTAATCCAAAAGTATATGCCCTCCCCTACCTCAGTTCTTAGTAGCACAGATGGTTAAATGTTTGACTGCTAACTGAAAGACTGGAGATTCAAGTTCATCCATAGATGTCTTAGAAGCTCTGAAGATGTACTTTAA